ATGTATTTCAGTCCTTCTACTGCTGCTCTATTCTAGAAATCTCTCTGGAGATTACATCTGAGCCTCGCTGTCATCATCACGTACAGCAACATTACATAACCACTGCCTGGCCACTGCTCACACACAAATCACACCTGCGCACATGCATTGACACAGACTTAATGAAGTTTGAACGTGCAACCTGGTCAAACCAGGTGAAAGGGTCATTTTCAAGTGAAGAGGGAAAAAAATTTAAGTTTTCAGGATTCTTAATTATTGGAAGGGCTGTATTTTACAGGTCCTTTAATAATCATGCTCCACGTACACTTATGTTATTGTTGAAAAGGAAGTTAGATGTAACCTCCAGGTCTAAACACCCTTCACTTTTCAATCTGATTTGCTTTTTACTGAGACACCTTCACATATTTCCACCTGCAAATCACCACAATGTTGCTTACTTGGATATTCAAGCAGGAAAAAATGAAAAAGTGAAGCTTTTTGAAGTGTGCGTTTACATTATTTTGCATCGTGTATGTTTATTATTTTTGAGTGGATCCATTTGCCAAAATCAGTCAATCAGTGTACTATAGTCTGTGTAGAAGATGTTTAGTTTCTGTTTGAAATCATTTGTGAACCAGTGCATTATTTTGTCTCAGCAGACTGACAGTTTGCTATCATTCGTGTGCCACTATGTCAATGTGACATTGCTTGTTTCGTTATTCGTAAGTCGTTTTGTCACAACAAATGTCGGCCTGTGAGGATGACTCTGTCCTTACCCTGGAGATGGTGAGTGGCATGTTGAAGTCCTTTCCTCCCTGTAGTCTGAAGCCCCATGGAGCCGGGCCATTCAGAGTCACTGTGTACGTACTCATCTTCGGTTAAACGTCAACACTCCTCCTGCTAACAACTCCTGCTGGCTGTGTGGTTTCTCCTCCTGCTCTGTGTGCCCTTGTTCTCTGTCCTCCCCTGCTATCCTTTTGTCCCTGTCGGTGCCTCGGTGGTCGCTTCTCTTCCGTCAGCCCTGGCTTCACTACCGTCTCTCCCGTGTCTGCTCCCAGCTCTCAGGACAAACACCCTGGGGTGGTGGTGGTAGTGGTGGTGGGTGGGTGGGTCAGGTGCTGTGGAACCTCTGTGACACACACACACACAATTGGAGGGACACACAGGCATACACAAATACACACAGAGAGAGCGTAGAGCCAAGCTGAGCCACCGCAGAAAAATAGTTTCTTCTGACAAGAGCCACAAAAAAAAACAACAACCTTGAAATCAAAAACTACAATTTTTAGAAAATGCAAACTCTCAAAAGTCAACTTTAAACTTAATATTGAGATGGAGAGGAGTTTCTTGCCTGCAGAGTTGCTGAGGGTGAGGGACAGACAGCCTAAGAATAGCCGAGGTGAGCAGAGACACAGGGGCCCTGGCCCTTATAAGGCCTGTAACACGAAGCCCCAGAATGCTTCACTGCCGATTCATGTCGCCAATATAGACCCCTCTTACTGCAACACATTCTCCCTCTCTCTTCCTCCCTCTCTTAGCGCTATCAGTTCATGCTTCTAGCACCTTATTATCCATAATCAGTCCCCACCCACTGATGTCAGTCGCTTTTCAGTCTTGCAGCCTTTTCGTTCTGCTCGAGAAAGGAAACAACAAATTAACCAGCGCCGACTCCCCAGAAACACCCACGGCAAGCTGATTGAGCTGCCATTCCTGCGTTTGTGATACGGAGCAATTCAATCAGCAGCCAACCACAGCTGTTACGGTTAAGTGGAACAAACAGCAGGTCCTGACTGTTTAAAAGGTGGTTACAGACTTTTTCTTTTTCAATCACATTGCACATGCACACAGCGTGAAATTGAGATGTTTGTGCACCTGTGTGATATTAAAACCACCTGATTTTAAATGCCTAAAAAGACACAGGAGATGGTGCCTAAGCAGTAAGTGAACATGAGCCAATCTATCACTCAAGAAAGCGCAACCCCCATATTGATGACACACTCAGGTTTTTTATGTTAAAATTTGTATACATACACTTAGAATAAAGAAGCAAAGGGAAACAGCTTGGCTTCATCCAAGGTTACTTTTTTTTACTTAATTAATGACACGGTTTGTGTACAGATTAAACAAATGAGATGTAAATAAGTAGGCCTACAGTTTCTGAGGTGGTAGTCAGCAGGTGATTAGGGAATCAGGCAGTTAGTGAGAAATGATTAATTATAGTATTTTCATGTTAGATAAGTGCGCACAAGGGAGGTAGAAAATAAACCAAATCAACATAAAAAGGTTTTTTTGTGCTTTGAAGTGCACAAATCACAGAAGTAAGGATCTCATTATCTCAAGGATACCACCCTGTTAGCCCAGAGTACATAATTATCCATTAGCGCTAGTGGATTTTATGTGGTATAAAGTACGAGAAGATGGTGGGTAGTTTTGCACAGAACTTGGTTAGGAGGAAACATGTGTGTGTGTTTTGAATAGGTTATTTTGTGTATTGTAATTTGACACACACACACACACACACACACACACACACACACACACACACACACACACACACACACACACACACACACACTCAGTGGAGGATAACAAGCATGATTACATACCAGAAATGTCACTGATGCTCTTTTGTCACTCCTTCTTTTCACACCTGTGTGCATCATACGACTGCACATGTACACACAAGTTGAAGGGTGGCCAGTGAAATGCCTGCAGCCCTGCTAATAAAGAGTGACCTCATGTGGGTTGCTGAGAGCTTGGACGCAAAGACAGACAGACAGACAGACAGAGCAACACATCAGAAGAAAATTGTTTACCAAAATAAAATACTCTCAGACCACAACAGAACAATACCATGAAAGCAGTAAAATATGTCGGAGCTTGAGGAAAATCCAGTGGAACAACACATGAAACCTCTTTTTATGTTTTTATCTCTTCTCTTCTGTGGTTCTTGCCAATACTATTACATTTAAGAATAAAGAATAGTACTATTAATTTGCATTATAGTGTAATATTCAGTGGTAGAATGCAGTACATTTACTAAACTACTGTACTTAAGTACTTACTGAAGTATATTTAATTTCATGCTACTTCATACTGATGCTGCACTACATTTCAGAGGGAAATGTTGTATTTTTTATCCCACTACATTTATCTGATAGTTACTCAGTAGATGAAGATTCAAGATTCAAGAGGTTTATTGTCATATGTACAGTAAGAAACACAGTGGTTTATACGTACAATGAAAAACTTACTTTGCCCGACTCCCTTAGGCAACACACAAATAGAAGAATAGAATAAAGTTTAAAATATAAAAATTTAAATATAAGAATGTAAATAAAACTCAAATATAACATATAACTTAATTGCAGAACATTGTACAGTAAACTATTTTTTTTTCACAAATTTGACATACAATATGTGTGTTTGGCTGATCAAATAGACTACTCAAATGTAAAGTAGTTTAAATTAGCTCCACCGTGACCAACTACACCAGTTAAATGCTGCATAATAATGCAATAACCCAAACTATGGTAGACATACTACTGGTGGTGAGCTCCCTCTAGTGGAATACAGAGGAATCTCTAAAATATAAATTTTTTTAGCAAAAACAAATTATTATTTTAAATATAATACTATTAAAATACTACAATTTATTAGGAATAAACCTGCCTCTTGCATGAACTGTCTGTAGCTGAATAGGGTCGGCCTACACTGCTGTATTCTATCGCTCATAATGGTGGTACTTGGAGAGCCTGATATTTTCTAATGTGGTATGTGATGTCAAACGTTTGAGAAACACTGCAAAAACATATTGATAAAAAAATTCTCTTTTACTTTTGATACTTTTGCTAATATTACACATTTTTACTTAAGTGACATTTTCAACAAAATACTTTTACCTGTATTTGAGTACTTATACAGGATTTCGACCTCCTCCACTGCTGCTTTTGTACCTACAATTTTGGGATTATTATACATACATTGTAAACCTCTCACTACATGCTTTGGCAATACTAAATTTTATTTATTATTAAAAAGCAAACTTGAACTTGAGAGTGAGACAAAATGCATATTTTAATAAGTTGATTAAGTGAATGACTATAATGTCTGTATCTGTCTCTCTCACCCACTTCTACTCATGCAAATCGAGTACCAACTCACACCTCTGCAGGGCGCCATAGTTTAGCAGGGAGGCCTATTCAGGTCAAACAGCATGCAGGAAAAATATCTGGTGTCTGACATGTTGAACAGATACACTGATGTCACTCTGTTATCTGATATCAGGATGTTCCAACTGTTAAGTGCTGTGCTAGATGGATCTCTTCCATTCAGGAAAATTGATTTATGAAAATATTGGTTGGTCAACACTGATTATGCATTTGGAGCAGCAGTAACCACAATCATTATGGTGAATGAATGTGTGTGTGTGTGTGTGTGTGTGTGTGTGTGTGTGTGAGTGGAACAACATAGAGTTCACCAAAAAAGATTAAAAACCTCACAGGTGCTTCTTTAGAGAAGTGAAGAGTATTTAAGAACAGAAGGTGTGATGCACTGAAGGACAGTTTAATGTAGAGCTGAAATTATTATTTAATGAATTAATCAAAAGATGGACAGAAACATAATCGGCAAATCAGAACATCGATTTAAGTTATTTTCAAGCAAAACTAACACAAATTCACTTGTTCCTGATTTTGAAATATAAACATTTGCTGTTTTTCCTCAATGATAATACACTAAATACGTTTGAGGTTTGATCTGTTGGATGGACAAAATAAACAATTTGATGACATAAAATTGGCAAATTGTGACATTTTTTAACAATTTTCTAACATTTTATTTACCAAACGATTAATTTACAAAATAATTGGCAGATTGATTAATAAAAATGAAAAATGATCATTAGTTGCAGCCCTAGCTTAATGCATGGCTCGTTAAAGCATCACAAAAGCAAAGACATGGAGACACCAGTCGTGCAGAATTTAGCAACATTTTTATTTAGAAAAATAAATAATGACAACACAAAACATTTTGTACAAAGAAAATAAAATCAACATGAAACCATCACTTCATAAAACATCACTTCATTAAAGCGGAATTTAAATTTTATATATATAATATTATATATTTGTTTTGTCATAATGCCAAAAATGTAGCCGTAACATTTTAAAACATGTAATTCTGTACATTCATTAATGGGTGCATTGGTGCATGGGTTTAATTTGATTTAACACACATAAAATGTGTCAGATTTAATTTGACAAGTGAACAGAACAGTTATTACAATCGAAGTCAATGATGCAGCAATCTTAGGAATCTGAAAGGGAACTGCAATGTAAAGAAGTGGAAAAAAAGACCTTTGGGAAAGAATGTATAAACATACTTGGTGAAGCAGCTTGTACGTCTGTCTATGAAGAGGTCTATGATAACAATTCTGAAACCACACTCTCATAAACAGTAGAGTCATTTAGCAAACTGTATATCTAATAGTAGATATTACAGTAAAGTATGGCATTAAGAGAAATACAAAGTACAGTACTGAGTCCAGTTCTTCATTATGGGCACACACACTCATACTCACTCTCACATACTTTGGCTGATGTACTGTAGTGTTGTTGACACATTTTTGACCTGATTTGTCCTATCTGTGGTACTTCATGTCACCAGGAAAGGAAAAATCAATGACAAAGAGCCAGAGGGGAAACAAACTGACTGTACCCTCTCCTGCCTGGTCGCATTTGTGCGTGTGTGTGTAAGTAAAACACTTCATATTAAAGCTGCATTAAAGCGTTTTCTGACCACTAGAGGGCCGAAAGACTGGAATGAACAGTCAATTCCTCCTGACGAACAAACAATATTAGCAGTGTTTCCCACAGGTCGATTTGATTTCTAAACTTATTTGCAGTGGTTTCATTTTAGAGTCAGTGAAGCAGCAGCAGCAGCAGCATTACATCAGAGGGATCATTTTTGCACTTTTAAATATATGCACAAGACATTTCACTCAACCTGGATTTCCACACATACTATCTTTAAAATAATAAATACAAAAATACACAAAGAAAAGAAAATTCCCGAGATGAAAAATGTATGTGAGGGCTGCCTTGCATACATTTGATATTTTGGAAACGCAGATGCTAGAAAGCTGCTTACTTACACATCTAGTAAAAACAGAGCAACATAAATATACCAATGAAGCTAGCCACCTATTAAATGTACATCCAGTATCCACTGTCATTTTACCTCTGGCTTCATTCACCGGCTCCTGAGAAAAAGATTCTCTCTTTGAGCTGCTACATGTGTGACTTTCTTCACCAGTTACTTTCATTTGACATTTTGCATTATGTAGGTGCAGTTAGCTTGTGCTAACTCGTGCCAGGAGCAGCTCACAGTTTGATAATAAGCAGCATGGTTTTGAGAACCAAAACAAAAAGGTTAAAGTGGCTTAAATCTGCATATAGTATGATGTTGATTCTCAGTGGGATCGGTAGTCCTATCAGTTCTTATTCATAACCAGGAGTCATTTGATTCAGTTTTTAATATAAAAACTAGCCTACTGCTTAATGCATCTTTAATATCAGTATTTATAGTATATTCTCACATCCTCAATTAAAGTAGGAAAAAAAAGAGAAACAACCAATAAAAAGACGTAGGGTTGGGTATGGAGAATTGGTTCTGATTTGGAAAGGATTTCATATTTTAAAAAAGCGACTGGTCAAAAAGCTTTTACTGTAGATGGATGACTCATAAAAACTCTGTTTGCTAATGGTGCCGCACAAAACTCATCATTCATCATCTGTATGGCAAGATAAAGAAGATTTATATTTTACCTTGAAACCAAAAATCATTTTTTTCTTCTCAAATACTGTGACAAGAATCTGAACCAATAATATATTAAAATCTAATTGATACCCAACCCCAGAGATAGAACTTTTCATATTGTGTTTTTAAGGCTAATTTGTTGCCTCCAGCTCTGAGGTAAACCATCTCCAACCACCATGATATGTCAGAAAAAAGTAGAACAATCACGTGTGTGTGTGTGTGTGTGTGTGTGTGTGTGTGTGTGTGTGTGTGTGTGCAAATACCCAAACATGTATTTAAATTTTCTGGGCATTCATGCTCACATACTCACACTCTGTCGTGCAAAAAAAAAAATGTGTATGTTTGTAAGAGCATGTTCTGGTTTTAAGTTACTAGCAAACAGCATGCTGGCACAGAGAAGTTCCATGGAGGGAAATACTGAAACACAACACACACTCTTTGCCTCTCCTTCTAATTTCATCCAGCTGTTCACGGTAATATTGTTGTCTCAAGCCTGGAAATGTCAAGGGGCTCCTTGGTAATCGGGCTGTAAGTTTTGGTCAATTTGAGGTTGCCATGGAAACCTGGTGGACTGTGCAGTATGGACGGGCTGGATATGGAGGTGACAATGACGGATGGCGTGTTACGCGCAGTCCTTGGTCCCGACTCCTCCATCACGTTCTCCAGCTGTGTAGGCAGAGGGAGGGAGAGAGAGGGAGAGATGTTCAGGTATTGTGACTGAGACTCAACATGCCTGGTGTGAGTAGGCGGCTGAATGTGTGAAAGAAATACACAGCGAGGTGAAGGTTAAAGGAGACAATGACGTTTTATTAACTGTTGCTGTGATTTGGATCAATACAACTTTCCCCCCTACTTAACCTGCCAGCGCAAGAAATGAAAGAGTCACAGCTGATCAAAGGCATTGATTGGTTGGATTGATGTCGCTCTCCCTTAATGGAGTGGAACTGTATCACACGGTTCAACCCCTGAAATCAATGGCTCTGCACTAGAGGAGCAAAGTACTCTAAATGACAAAGTTCAAGTAAATCCTTTAAAAAAAAGGGTAATTATGTTTTATTTTAACTTGAGTCTTATTTTTGTAGTTTAAGCTACAATTTCCATCAGTAAAAATATTATTGTGTTCACCATGTTAAAGGAATAGTTCTATAATTTGGGAAATATGCTTATTTACATTCTTGCCAAGAGCTTAATGAGAAGATTGATACGACCCCTATGTCTGTTAAGTATGAAGCTACTGGTTAGCTTAGCTTAATATACGGAGAGAAAGGAGGGGAAACAGCTAATCAGTGTGCACCTCCAAACACACTACATCTTGATTGTTTAAACCCTAAAAATACAAGTTGTGAACAATTTAAGCTCACAAGCATTTACATAGATGTATTAAGGACAACCGGATACAGCGTTGCGGGCGAGCTCCATTCATTCGTACACGAGCTTTATGTGTCAGTGACAAATTACCTGGATCTTCCGCATATGCTTCTGCATCATGTGGCCCATAGAGGAAGCGCACTACACACTTCCACCAGCCGAGCCGCTAACTTGAATGGAGATAAAATTATTTAACCGTGTGAATCAAACTTGTAGGGGTGGTGATGTTGAAAAGAAATGTATCCACTGTTTTACAGCCCCTTCTTTCACAATGTAAGCTTAAGGGTAGAAGTCTTTTTGGGTCAATGTGCATCACGAGTTGGACGCCATTGCTGTAATTACACGGTTTGGCCACTATGTCAAATTATTTTCCTTGAGGCTTGAGCCATTAGCTGTAGCTTCATATTTAGCAAGTAAGAGAATAAGTTTATTTCCCAAAACTGTTCCTTTGATAGTGTTAAGATCTAGGAATGTGGAAATACAAGTAAAAGGAAGTCAGACAGGATAAGAAATAAGTAAACAGGTTGTAAACAAACAGAAGAGAAACTTACTTGGAAGAGAAAATACAAAGGTGAACAGTAAAATGAAATGATGTCTGTTGTTTTCCTGTGCAATGATGGATTATTGATTGATTACAGACATTTCAGGTGTACTCATTTTAAATGTTACCATCAAATAAAGGGGTTTAATCTGGTTACACTGATTGCTTGTTTTTTGCTCAGACTATGTTGCAGGGATGTTGTCATGTTCCCAGACCTCAGAAATGACTTTGGCAAATACAATCTTATCATAACAAAGATAAGATAAAAAAAAAAAAAACATAAATTGCAATAACCTTGACACATACACATAAATCAACTAAACTCTTCATGTTTTTCTGTGAAAGTGAGTCTTTCTTTAGACAAGAGCAGTTTATGTGAACTTAAATCTTAGCACAACATTCTTTTAATTTCTGTAGAGTAGTCAGTCAGTCATGTCTGTGAGGAACAGTCGATCAATCTTTACGCCACTTCACTCTTTTGTATTGACAGCAGAGGGCATCCAACAGATAACACAATAAGTTGGACACAGAAAGACGGGGTTTAGGTGGGGAAGTATTCAGAGGATGGTTTCTGCAAGCTATTTTAAATGTGGTAGAATCATTGAGCAGTGTTAAAGAATGGGTGACATGACCCTTTAAATACCCCTTAAACACACATGACGTAAGCCAGATGGGAAAAGGTTGGTGCAGGTTTCTATAATAAACAAATCCTTTGAAAAGACCAAAACAGACAAGGACGTTTATCTCGGTTTCCATCCAAATGTAACGCAAATTTAAAGAAATTCAGCAAAAGAAAAAGCAAATTGATGCTGATGTTTTTGTATGTTGGAAGCTTCAGTGGACGTTTAATCGCAAGCGTCATGATTAATTTGTAAAGTCAAGTCAAGATTTTTTCCAGGATTTTTTATGATCAAATTAAAAATGTGCATTAAAACAAGTGGACGGAAACCCAGCTGACTGTTATCGTCAGTTAAATCCTGATGTAGCTTTTGATTCTGTTCCATAGAATTCCACTGTTGTCCAAAAACTATTAATAAAATATTCAAAAGTCCATAATGTTGCATTGAGTGACAATATTCCTTAATTACAATGAATATAGCCAGTGTTTTTATTCTGAAACAACTATGTAAACAAACAGTGACTGCACTATTTAATCTTTGAGTAGCTTTTGTGTTGCATATCACAATAATGATCTCATCTAAAACACATCTTTTTTTTTAACGAGAAAAGTTACAATGTAATAATTGGGTTTGTAGTTGTGACAAGAAATATATGTTGACATGAAAAATATCTTGGAATATATATATATATATATATATTTAAGAAATAATATATACTATACTATATTTAGTGAAACTACAACAAAGAATAAGGGATATTTACAAAGTGCATTGCTATAAAAAGCATCAAGTTGTTGGCCATCAGCAGTAATTATTTTGAATGATATTTTGCAATACACTACAATAAAGACACTAATGAATAAACTTAGTTTAATAGTAATAGAAAAATGCTACTTTATGGTACCAGTACAATTACAGTGAGCTGAGAGGAATAAACTGATCTGTTTACTGTAAAGAAAGAAGGAGAAACAATGGAGTTCTATGGCACAGATGGCTAAATTAGGTTTTTCTACACCAGTAATAGTTATGTTATATTATATATGTTATTAAATAGGTTGTTGATTTTTATTTTTTCATGGGATTTGTTTATTTCTTGATACAAGAAATCTACATCTACTGCACAGAGGATGAGGTGGATGATCAATGGACTCTTACAGTAGCAGGCAGATGACTGGTTGGCTGCAGACTGATGTCCGACATGGAGATGTCTTCAGGCTCTGTCAGAGTCTGAACAGTATGCACATAAACAAAGCCATTTAGTGTTAGTTATAATCAAAAGATTATTTTGGCTATTTGAGCCTTCAGGTCACATTGTTACAGCAGTAAATACAGACCGACTTCAAATTGCGATTAGAACGCAGACTTTTCATATAAAGGAGTATCTCTCTTGAAAATCACGCCATGTTGTTCACAGCTGTTGCCAGTAACAACCTCATCTGATTGTTTTCTAAGTAATCAAAATTCATTCTTAAAGGATGAGTCTGACATTTTCAATACATGTATTTAGTTTCTTGAGAGTCTGCTAGTTAGCTTTGATTAGCATAGAGACTGGAAACAAGGGGACACAGCTGCTCTGGCTCTGTCCAAAGGTAATAAAATCCTCCCACCAGCACCCACCTCTAAAGCTGGAGTCTTGTCATCACTGTCAGGTTGCCAAGCAAAAAGCTGAGACTCCAGGAAGTTACTGGGCATGGCCCAAGACTAAGTCCAGCATATAACCCACCATAAAAGCAGAACTTTATGCAATTTTTAAACAAATATGCTAATTGGTGACCTTTAAATGTGCTGGTACAGATTGAGCTACCTTTAGAGAGAGCCTGGCAAGCTGTTTACCCCTTTTCCAGGCTTTATGCTAAGCTAAGTTAACTGGCAGCTGACTGTAGCTTCATATTTAGTGTTCAGACATGAGAGTGGTATCAATCTTCCAAGGTAATGAATGTATTTCCCAAAAACGTCAAAAGTCCTTTAAGTCTAGAAGTATCAGATATTAAAAGTACTCCAGAGTCACCCTGGAAGTACAAAACTGAGTTTCTGTAAATAAATAGAGAATATTGTGATAAATAATTCCAACAAATATCTGCTAAAGAAGAGCAAATGCACAAGATAATGAAAATATGAAAAAGTAAAGGTTGTAATAATCACAAAGGGAGATTTTCACACATTTCTTCTCCGTCATTTTACACCGCTGGCTGAAAATGACATTGTTTGCAAGAGTAAAAAAATGTTTATAGACAAAAATAAAAGTGTAAATTATCTGCTCTGTGCAGAGATGGAGGCAGATGAAAGTCAGAGACTCCGAGACAATCAGCCATCTTCGACTGCAAACAACTGCAGTACTTCGAAACATGGGGCTGAATCATGCAAACTGTGGATTAAGACTGAAACACCCAGATTACTGGATTAGTCTTTGGACCCTCTGTAATGGAATCCTCAGTGAACCTGACCTGCATGGCAGTACACTGGTATGTGTGTGTTTGCATATGTGTGTACATGTGGGTTATTTGTTTTTTCTGTGAACTAAGATGATTACAGAGAGACGGAAATGCTCCATATATTGAATGCCCCACACAGAATGACCTGTCTCATTCCATTGGCTTGACAGCATTATACTCAGAAATGTTGCAAACAGAAAAAATTATGGGTCTAAACAAGCCTCCGTATGTATGTATGTATGTTAAGATGCTAACTATAAAATTTCAAGCACATATTAATGTATGCTTTTCCATTTTCTATGCCTATTATTTAGGCCTAAAGCGAGACTTCAGTGGTCGACCAAGACTAACGCTATACTCTGTGAAATATCTCCAGAAGTGCTAAGTCGAAAGGCCACTGGACTTGCTTTTGATTCTTGAAGATGTCAGTTGGGGCTTACTGGTGGAGAGTCAAAGGCATTTAACCTTTGTAATGTTGTTCACCCCTTAAGAGGCATTGAGGTCACATGTGGGTCGTTAGTCCACCTGTCTGTCATGTTAGAGTCATTGGAGTCACATGAGTCAAGGTGTAAATGGGTCCTAAACTGCCTGGGAAGGGATGTCAGGGCAGATATCTGATCCAAACGGCCACACTGGAAGGTGGCATGAAAAGCCGGCCATCATAGAGACACGATATTGTTTAAATGAGGGTGCACATTTTCAGACAATCTCTCCTGGAAGTCCTTCATGGTATTGCACTTGGTTGTTCACATTAAAAGTGACAGAAATAGTTGTGCAAGAAATGGGAAAAGAGTCTTTGAAAGAAATTCAAACCCTGGTGGATATCGTTGTTTTTTTGGAAAGTTACAGAACATGTTGGACACAGCCCCCCTAATCTGATATCAGAAAGGTGTGCGGGGGTTTCTCAAGTTATTTGACCAACCATCAGAACGTGCACAACCAGACCCTTAATCAGAACTAAAGAAGCCCTTTGGCTGTTTTTGTAAAGTATTCACCTGGATTCACTTACAAATTAGTGGTGCCTTATAAAACTGTGATGGCTGATGTCAGCATGTCATACTAAGTTAAAGCATTTAGCCTAATGTCAGGTGATTGTGCTATTCCAGTCCAGGGGATGGTAGTAGTCTTTAGAAAATCATGTGAAAGTCATGCTAGTCTCGGAGCTACTGAATTCTTTCAGGAACCTTAATTTCTGTGACTTTACAAAAAATGCAAACAAAAAGTGTTTAACCAGACTCCAAAGCGACGCGGCAAGTGACACTGAAACACTGTGATCCCAAAAATCAAACCATGAAGTTACAGGGGACCAAAGCAACATGGACTTATCAGATTACACGCTAAGGAATCCTTTTCATAACCGAGTCTGGGTTTTAAGAGGGCTCCAACTAACATGACCTCATAGAATTACTTGCCATGAAATACCGAACATAAACATGACGTCTATTGAATTTAACAGCACTCTAAAACAATATGACCTCACTTCTCAGTCGCAGGAGGAGAGGATTAAGATCAGTCTTGACGTAATGCCAAAACAGAAGCGAAACTTCCCATCAAAAATATCATAAACTAATGTGGGAAAAGTTCAACTGAGCACTACATGACACAATATCTCAGTCAGACGACACCTATCTGACACTTAAAGTAATAAAGCTGGAAATGTATGACTTTCAGATTGAATACATCTTCAGTTGAATACATAGTGCATATTAAAGTATGTAAGTAACAGCATGTTGACATAAACCTGACCCTGATACTCACTGTGATCTGTGAGAGTAGACATATGGCAGGGTCAGTGGGGTTGTGGACAGGAGTTCTTTCAAACTCTCCCGTGTTGTGACCTCTCACCTTTGACCTCTGGCTGATATGGCGCACCTGATTGACATCACTGGACAACTGACGAGGGACAGGCGTCCGAGATGAGTCTTCCTCCGTGTCTGAGAAGTGGGCCTGAGGCACGGACAAAATCATAGACACAAGACTAAAATCATCAACTGGTAACTCAAAGCATTCTTCATAGGTAGCGTAAGACAGAGACATACCATATTAGATATGAGATACACTCACTGATTCGCTCTCAGACACCGAGGAGTTGCGGGGCTTGCTGAGGCCTCTGCTCTCTGATTGGCTGGTGAGGGTTGATCGGCGGGTGGACTGGAAACTGCTGCTGCTGAAACGATCTCTGCCAGTAACGCACAGCAATCGCCCGAGGTAGGGAATGTACTTGCTAAGTGCTGACCTGAGAAAGAGATAGAGAGAAATATTTAAATCCATAATTGAACCAATTTTATTATGTGATAGTGAAGTGTGGGGCCCCCTGACATCCCTGGATGCCGAGCTGGTATAGGCCAATTTCACCTTTTAATTAGAGTCTTAAAACAGAGCAATGATAATTCAATATCACATTAAAGCCAGTGACCCCAGCGGTGACATTACAGAGCTCCGTGTTGCCAAGAATAGAAAATACCAAAAAGTCTCCTCAGCCTTGGTTTTATAGTTGTGTATTAAGGGGTTGTCGCACAGTTTCTGAGCCACTTAGACGCCATATAGGCTGTAGTAGCTGACGTGCCCCTTCTTAAAAATGGAATTGCATATTGTGTAGTAGTTTATGTCTGTGAATTGTCTATCATATTTATTGTATTTATTTCTCCGCAGGGACATTACCAATGTACTTTTCTTTTCTACGTCAGCTACGAAGACCACAAGAACCGTGATCGGTCAGTATGGGCTGCTTGTTTTTCAGGAATGAAGACGACATGAAGCAAGTTGAAGGAAGGCTCAGTAATCTGCTGCCTTTCATCAAAACACATCAAACAAAGGCTTTTGCATTTGTCACTCTCTATCATGAAGTGAATGAAAGAAACATAGTGATTGCAAAACAATAGTGGTCTCATTTCCACTTTACCACGCTCACTGTATATCGCAAAGTGAATGAAAGAATGTAAATATAGTTTGGGAATACAATGGAGAATATTATTAACGTTGTATGTGACATGACACAGCCTGATCACATACAGTACATCTATCTAATGTTACAGTGATGCTATGTATGAGCGAATCAGACACTGAACTACAATCTAGTCTAATTAATACATCTTAAAAGTACAGCACAGCCCTCACACAACCCGATTATAGCCAAAGAAAAAGAAAAGCACCCCAATAAGCAGCGTTGTTACAACACCAGGATGTAAAATCATGAAATAGAAAGAAAACACGACAGGTAGCGCTTCGATATTTTATAGAAATGAGGAGTAATATGAGGCCCACTGTAAACGAGGAGAAACTTTTTCTGTTGAGTTATGTAATATAACAACCTGAAGTCAGTTTAGTCAGAACCAGAGACACTGCTCAAAATCATCATTACCACCCCAATGACCACAATATAGTCTGAGAGAAACTTTCCCTCACTGAAAACGATCAGGACCTTTACACGTAGCACAATGGGATGGGAAAGGATGAACGCCCTCTTATCAAATTCATTAATGGACTTCTCGACTCCCGCAGCAAAGCTACAGAGAAGTTTGCACACATAAAAGAAAACAAGCCACCTTTTTTTTGGGAAGACTTTATCCCACAATTAGGCTACTACTTTTGTTATTCTCTCCCTCTGGTTGTGTTGTCTTGTGTTGTTTCTTTAATCTGCTTTAGTATCAGCATTCAAATTAAATATTCTACCACAACCAAAACTGTCATTAATGGCATTAATTTGATTTGACATTAGAACTCTTGTGTCAGATGATGCCTGCTAAAATCTAAGTGCTTTGATCCACCAAATTTTTTGTGCCAAAAACACCACTAACACCAACTACTGGGCAGCTACTGCAAAAAATAATCCTCTATTTTATTTAGCACTGATCAGACAATATAAATTATATGACCAGAGACTGAAAGAGTTTACTACATATGGACTGAGTGACCACACCCTAGCTATTGGGACTGGTGGACACAGACAAACCTGGCAGCACAGAGAAAACAGAATCAGTTTTGCCAACAACAATCAGAGGACGAGCAAGAATTTGACGCACTTTTAGACTAAAACAAAATAAAATCTTTACTTGCCATGGAAGCAGCAAAAATATGTCAAAGCATGTCTTGCCTAAGGCAAAACTAGAAACACGTAGAATATCACTGCCTCCTATTTTGGATTTTAAATCTTTTTTTCTTGGTTCTCACTATTACCCCAGTTAAAACACTGTGCATCTCTTTCTATCATATGAATTTATATTTTCTTTAATAATTTGTTTGCAATGTCCTCATGTTTTTCTTTATTTGTCTGTCACATAATATACTGTGTAGTATAGAAAAGTAGTAGTATAGTGTATATTATACTTACATTGTAAAGCTCATAAAACCTACATTGGCAATACTACTCCAATAATAATAGCCTGGGTAAGCAGTGAATTCAGCATTATGTTATTTCCACACCATCAACTTAATTTGTTGTAAATAAAACCTAACACTTGAGTGTGCATCCTACCTGTATTTGGGATGGGTTATGGCATAGATGATGGGGTTGTAGATAGCAGATGCTTTTGCAATCACAGCAGGAACAGAGTGCATATACGGAGTCAACAAGTCAGCATACCTAAGAGGCAGGAAAGATAGATGTTGGCAAGAGGAAGAAAAATGAGACAAGGAAATGAGACACATTCATGTGACAAGGGCAGTGGTGGGTCTGTTTCCTTGTACAGGATTAATGTAAAGACACAGACTCACTTTCACCATCAGTGTCAGGAGCCACTGTGCCTGGCTAAGAAATAGTCCCTCACAGTAAACTAAACAACACCTTTTTACACTTGTTTTTGTACCTACTAAACAAACCAGATGTAACATGTTAGTGAGTGGGACACACAGTCACACTCACTGTCGATGCTGCATTCATGTTATTGTTTAAACACCCCATAAAATGTGTACTTGAACTGAAAAGATGTAGTAGGTGTAACATCTAATCAATAAACTCAGTTTCACTCTATTAATAGCCAATTAGTTAATAGTTAAGATTGACTGACCACAGCACTCAAAAGCAAACACATCACATTAAGGAGGCAATGATATCATATGGTATTTTCTTCAGGTTTTAATATATGTATCTCTCCATGGGATTAAAGTTGGAGTGCAACATACGAAAACAGGGTTGTAAATAGTTTCCACTGAAACAACTTTCTACCAGATATGAACCACTTTCTGCCCATATGAACTACTTTACATGCAAAATAGATTTTTTTGGCCACTTAAAAGAGTGACAACAAGCTGTAAACATATTATCAGACATATCACCTTATGAAGTTGATGTGTTGAACTTGTTAGCCAACAGTTTACAAATGTAGCAGATATGGAGCTACAATGACATTTATTCAGATTCATTTTTCTGGGAACAAAACGCTCCTTTTAGCTCTGTTTTTGGTCTCTACCAACTCCTGAGGGAAATATCGGACTCTTTAGCTGCTTAATGCTCCACTATGTTCACCAGCTGGTGTTTGTCTGCTGTTTGGTGCTGAGCAGATGGTGTACAGTAGGTTTTTAAAACTTTTTTTGGGCTGAAAACTGCTACCTGCTACAGCCGAAAAATTACACTGTGAGAGTGAACCAAAACAGTAAAGTTTTGGGCTGGACAGCTAAACAATGAGCTAAAACTTGCTACCCATACAGCCAAGGGGAGCTGCAGATTGAGGTGATAATTCTCTGTAAATTCATCACTATATGAATGACGACTGTCACACTGTTTGATTTTTTTATAAAAAAATATTGATTATAGGCTGTTTAACTAAGATCTGTCCTGTGATCCCATGTTTTTGTTTTTCATGATGGGGATTGGCTTCCTCAGAATCCTTATTGTTGCTTGGATGCTTTAAATGCCTAAACAGCAGAGACTTTACTACCTAATCTGACTGTACTGTATAACCATTTGCTCTAAATGTGTCGGAATCAGGATTAATGTCCCATCTTCAAGGTTAAAATGGAGAGATGGATGAATAATGAATAATTCAATCAGAAACTAGAAGTAATGCTTTATTATGAACCATAGCCCCCCCAAAGTAGTGCTTTGCTGGTTTTCAGTCCTTATGATGATTTTTTGACATCACTGGACTGTAAAAAAAATTTACATACACACACATACACACTTACCCAGCAAAGGCAGTGAGGGCTGCACAGGAATAAGGGGCCCAGGAAATGACATATAGCAGGATGACAATGAGAGCGATCTTGGCCATCTTCCATTCACTCCTCATCTTGTTGAACCTCTTAGCGGAGTCTCTGGTTCCCTCACAACTGATCTTTGTTATCGCTCTGTCACACACATACACACAGTTATGAAACTTCTTTAGTTTTTCTTTTGCTTTCAATATTATTTATACATCAAGTTTGACATTTCAATATGTTTTTTTTTCCTCATGAGGGCTTTTATTGTATTTTTCTTTACAGTTACAGACAGCAATGACTAATTGACATAGATTTGTGTTATCATGTGCACCCACATTCAATTTCTTCATCACCTACATTGCCAGTGCAGCCTGTTAATCCAGTATCAGTGTTCAGGTTGAGTGAGACTCAGTGAAAATCGATAGAAAAACCCAGACACATCGTTACTCAACAAGACATCAGTTTTAACACACGCACAGCACCATGTCAGACACCCATGTGTTTATTGATGCATGTGGGAGCGTGTGTTGCAAGACTGAACAAGATAGAAGCATGACTACACAGTGTGTTTGTGTGTGTGTGTGTGTGTGTGTGTACCAACCGTGTTGTGTGCCGGATGGCTCTGAAGATACAGCAGTAGCTGAAGATGATGATGAAGAGAGGAATGAAGAAGACGAAGGTAAAGAGCAGCATGGTGTAGGAGCGGACAGAAGGGGTAAACGTCATGTAGTCCCAGGAACAAGATGTCATGAGACCCTCTGGGACATAGGCACCTGTGGGAGAACAGACGCACTATAGTGGTTGCTTTTCTATCAGTTTCTGTATTGTGTAACTTCCTGCTTAGTCTCTATCTGACAGACCCTCAACTACTTCTGTATAGGAACACATCCATCCTACTCTTCTCCAAGTATGCAGTGTTGATAACGATAACCAGAAGGTGGAATTGAATTTTGCAATGTACCTCATTTGACATTCCAGTTGTCAGGCTGTCATGTTGGTGGGTTGCCAATTATACATACTGTACACCTTAAGGTTGTTTTGTTCTCATCACCTTTCTACTTATCTGATTTGGATCTCAATACCTGGCTGCTCTACTGACATGAAATTTGACAAAAAAAGGCCAAATTATTTAAGGGAATTAAATTTAAATACATTTTGGGGAAAATCCTTATTTGCTTTCATGTCGAGAGTTAGAAGAGAAGGTCGATACCACTCTCACATCTTTCCATCTTTATGTAGCTAAAGCCAGACGATGTTTGCTTAGCTTAGCATAAAGGTTAGAAATGGGAGAAACAGCTAGAGGAAAATAAAATCTGCCAACAAGCACTTCTAAAGCTCACTAATTTACACAACATACTCTTTGTTTAATCCGTACAAAAGTGTCAAAACAACACGTTTGGATCGTTCTGGAGGCTCCACTGGTTGTCAGCAGTCAGTGGGTCCGGCCAAGAAATAGTATTAGTGAGCTTTAAAGCTGATGGTAGGCAGATTTCTGTGCCTTTGGACAGCTGGTTAGCTTAGCTTTAAGCTTTCTAAATTCCTATTTCTTTAAAGTTTATATGTTAAAATAAACATCATTAGACACCATATGAAAAAAGTCAATAGTGGTTCCCATGTGTTTGCACACCAGAGAACAAATTGGTTGGTTTGATGAAATGTGTAGAGATAAGTCATCAATCATCAAGTCCAGCTGGTGGCACTGGATGAAAACTAAAGGAATCAATCAATATCATCAGCATTCATCCCCTTTGGACCATGATTATCTCTACTAAATTTTAGACCAACCAACCAACACTGCCAAGCCAGAGCTAGCACTGCTAATAAACACCTATAACTGATTGTTTTAATTAAACTGAATTTTACTAATTTATTCAGTATGTATGTAACACCACCTGTCAAACTGAGGCTTTGTGACTTTGGGACCTAAGTGGCCCATGTGCATAATCCATCAGATAAATCACAAATGGTTGTTTCTGCTGTGAAAACTAACACTCGTAGTATTTGGTATGCACACCACAGGCTTCTTCTGTATTGGACTGCATCCTTCATTTCATACAAAGTCAACAAAGAAAATACACACACACAAAGAGACACTACTGTGTCTGCACTTACTCATGAAAACACAACTGATCATATACACACACATAACAATCTCTGGCCATCATTTAACAGCAGACTTTGAAAAACACTCTCCTTTTCTCCAGACACGGAAGGAAGCCATAAGTCACTTTTATTACGTGTTGTGTTAAGTTGTTGTGGCAGTGGGGGCTCCAAACCCCAAGAGAATTTTTAGAAAACAGCAAGCAACATAGTCAATGCAGGGTGACAGCACTTAAACAGGGCCTACCAGTATTATGTTCAAAATATGTTTAGTTTCTGTTTGAATAACTACAGTATGTCCGACCTTCTCAACTTGTGGTCCAATCTGTCCATTCAGTGGAAGCTGGAAGTGGAAGCAAACACTCTTTCATGTAAGGAACAAATGTAAAACTCTTAATTGGCTGTGCTGAGTATATAGACAGAGCCTATATAATGGCATTTTGGAAATAACTAACAAAACGAATGCAAGGCTGTTCTCTGTTGACTGTCTACGTGCTACATTATATATATACAGACATCACCGGTGAGTGTTTATGCAGCTGACACTAAGTTGTACTTTCCCTTGTGTTGTGACAATCTCTACCAACAATTATATACAATTAAGTGCATACGTGTGTGATTAAAATAAATTACATTTCCAAATGCCTACTGTGTTCTGCGGTGCCCATTGGTCCTCCCATAATTTATGTCCTGTTTGCACAGACAGTGTGAAAGTGTTTTGAGAACAAAGAGCTGTTTCCTGTTATTTTGTAAAACAGTTCAGTATGCCATGTTTCAGCAAAGGTTTTAGCCTACTGGGGAAATTATTTGTTGTTAGGTTTATGGAATTTAATTACAACCTCTCGGTCGTCGGCCCTCTGAGAGGCTTTTCAGACCCACCCTACTGAAGACTGACAGCCAATAAAAATGACAAATTGTGACCGTGACAGAAGTAGAACAAACTTTTGCTAACCTAATAGACGCTGACTTGTTAACACGAACCTCATCAACAATTATTGTTGGCTGTTGTAATGTCAGCTTCAGGTAGACATTAGGTGATCTGCCTTCTGATAACTGATTTTATACTAAATGCATTTGGCATGTTGACAAAAGGAGAAATCAGATCTGTTTGATATAGTTGTGCACCATTCAGCAGGAATTTGACACGCTGACACAAATAAAAACAACGAGAGTGAAATTCTTAGACAGAGCTCAACGAACTGAATCCCTCAGAGGGATCACACTGATCAATAATGACGTCCAGTTGTACTCACTCCAGCCGAAGAAGGGGGGCAGGCTCCAGCCCATGGAGTAGACCCAGGCCGCAGCCACAATGCTCAGGGCTTTCCTACGAGACATCAACCCCAGGGAGGCCAGAGGCCTGGTGATCACCACGTACCGGTCCACTGCAATCACCATTAGCGTCATCATGCTGCAGATACCAAACAAGGCTCCGCAGAAGGCATACACCTCACAACCTGGAGGAGGAGAGGTGAGGGAGGGGGGAAAGGAATGAAAAATATGTTTGTTATCAGGATAAATGCATTTTATGGCAGTAGATTCTGCAGCTCTTGAACAACAGCTGGAAATACCGTAGCTGATTGTGTTTCTCAACTTGTAACTCAGTTTTATTGACAGTTTTAGAAAGATATTTCTCTGCGGTTTTGTCAAGTAACCATCACACTGCCATATCAGATTTACTGTATTATTTGCTAATATCATATTACCTAGAGAACATCTGTTACACACATGCTCCATAATTCCTTGTTAGTAGATTGTAATGGCAAGTAGTTACATGAAAACATTGGCTACAATCAATATTTTCATAATAACAAAATCAAATCACAATGTGAAAACAATGAGATAATGTGACAGGGGTCGCTTGTAAAGATTAACCTAAAGAGAATTATTACCTAAATCTGTAGCTCATTGATTATATGTCCAACCCACAAGTTTACTGTTTTGGTTTACTTTCAATGCTCTCATGGGATTGATTTCAGTGGCAGCAGGCAGCTTTTTTCAGCGGAAAGGCTCGAAAAAAACGATCCCCTGTACACCCTTTGCCCAATCAGCTGACAGACACAGTTAGTGACTTGCTAGTGAACTATGGCATTTAGTTAGACTCAAAACCCGGACACACGAAAAGCAGGCACGTGCACGTGATACAAACACAGAGAAATCTGCAAGCAGAAAGCAGAAATGCTCCCTCGTGAGCATAGTGTTTCACTTGCTGATACTGTTCTGTGTGCTCATATCACACACATGTGCCTAAACACAGTGGACCATTTAGCAGCTAAAGAGCCAGATATTTCCTTCAGGAGTTGGTAGAGACCAAAAAATATTGGACACCAAAAGACTCCAAATGAACAATAATGTTGCTCTGTAACTGCTGGATGTGTAAGCAACTGTTTGTCAAATCAACTTAAAAGATGACGATATGTCAGTGTGATTCACAACTTGTTTCCTTTGCCCCTAAGTGACCAAAAACAAAACAGTTTTTGCAGGTTTAACATTACTTTCTTTGTCAAATTGGACTAATTCTCCCCTCAAGCTACACTTCTGTGTGATAGTATATGAAAAGAGCTGGAAGGCTGAAAAAAAAAAAATAATAAATGTTAATAATGACACGTAACTAGAGGGAAAGCAATGATGATGGTCTGACTTTTTTAACTAATGACTGAAGTCCTGTGCTGACTTTATTTTGAATGTTAATATGCTAAACATTAACATAACATGCTATATATGAGCTATAGGCTTAATTGTTTTTTAGCTACAAAATAAATAAGTGATGTATTACAGCTTTCAGAAGAATGATACCCAGTTGTCATCCCTTCGATGTTGACACTATCAAAGGTGATTAATCTTTCATCCTGTTTTGTTTTGTGGTGTGACTTTCTGACATCAATCTTTTCCTGGTAAACTTCTTGCATACCAACTTACTATTTAAACATTCAGACCACAGAGAGATCAGCCAGGCTTGTTTTAAAAGCTTTTTCTGTATCTCCAAATCTCCAAATTGTATTTCTTTTCACTATTAATGTTACGGTTGATAACAAAATCAGTTTCAGTTGCTTGCTTTGGCAACAAGTAATGTTGTATTCTGTTACAACAAAGCCATCTGGAGTGAATAGAGCAGGGAAGAAGAGAGACAGAACAAGAGAGGGAAAATTACGGAAGGATCAATCATTCAATCAGTCTTAAAAAAATATAATGCAGAATTACTGTGAAGAATGGTACCGAATACAACTTTACAATTAAGAGAATACAAAGGACAAAACATATAGCAAACAGACAACATAATAAAAATCCAAATAAAACAATCAGTGTTAAAGGGATGTTTGAAAAGTTGATGGTGAATAAAAGTAGGTTTTCAGTCTTGATTACAGATTTCAACTGAATCTGCTTCTTTAACATGGAAGGTCACTCCAGGGATAATGTACACAGTAGAAGTCCTCTGATGCTGGAATATTTTTTTGGTGACTGAAGGAATTAGCTCAGATATTTAAGGTGGTGCAAGTCCATGCAAGGCCTTATAAGTTAAAAGAAGAATCTTAAAATCAGCTCTATCTTGCACTGGTAACCAGTGAAGAGAGACCAGAAGGGATGTTTTATGATCAAATTTTGTAGTTTTTTGTGAAGATTGTAGCTGCAGTATTCTGAACAAGCTGAAGGAACATCAGGAAAAAGGACCTTACAATCAACACATCTGGAAGATACAAATACATGGATTCAGTTTCGGCATCGCGCAGTGATAACGTTAAGGTTTTTGATGGTTGAGCTTTCAGAAATAATACAACCATCAATGTTAACATTCAGATTATCATACAACTGGTCATATTTGGCTGGTTTAACAGGGAAAAAAAAAGCTCTTAACCATCTATTTTTTCAATTTCTGATAGACATGCTTCTAAATGTGGTGATTTACAAAGGTCATGTATGGAAGTCAGAAAAGAGGTGAGCAGAGGAAGAATTTGTGGGAGAGGAAGAGAAGGTGAGGAAGCAGCAAAATACTGAACCCAACGTCGACAGCTGAATGTAGTAGTTTCTGTTTCTGATGAGCAGTTGGCACCTTGAATCAGTGCGTGAATGGGTGAATGTGACATGTAGTGCAAAGCACACTGAGTCGGAAGAAATGTGCCGTATAAGCAGTCCATTAACGAGTAGCAGTGTGATAAAAAATGGATGGGTGATATGCTGGGAAACAGGAAGGTTTGAGAAAGTGTGGCATGTACAAACAGCATACAATATTAGTATTTAAATATGTGAATATTAAATAAAGTGCTTAAATATTTAATACATATCAAACTTATTGTATATATAATAGGTTTATTGTGCTATGTCTATTATGCCGGCATGCTGTGACACAGTGTTTGTGGCTTCTAACATGTCTCTTTATGTTCCAAGATGCTGTTCTCTGTGGAGTATCATTATGCTAAATGTATTCATAATGTATGAAGAAATCTGATGCACACAATCATGCACACTCGCAGATGCACAAGCCTGCACACTGACAAATACAAACACTCAATCATCACTTTATCAGCTGCTGTCCCTTTAGGCGGGTGAAAGTGCGATTACCACCGACCTGTCAAAAATCATGAAATCACAGCACCAAGTCGTCACATCCAAACATAAGACAAAATCTGAAGTGTGTCGCCTGTGTGAAGGAACTCAAACAAATAGCACTCAGGTGATTTAATATAAACCACAACGGCTGTACATTCGTCGTCCTGACTGTCTGTGTGTGTTTGACAGTCGTTGTTAACTTACTGAAGCTAATGAAGTCCAGATTGGCTCCCAAAGAACAGCAGATGTTCTCCAGAGAGGATCAATAGTAACAAAGTCCTGGGGCATTTTGTGTGAAAGGCAAGGTTCACTGCATTCTGGTCAAGTCAACATACCAAGTACATGTAAAACATCTCATGAATTGAAAAGTCCTAATAGGGTCCTGCAATGAGCCTGTAAGAGCAAATGTTTAGGATTTAGGATTAATCAATGAGTGTGTTTCATTTTCAATTTGCATGTAACAAACTGAGTAGAAGAGAAATTTGATTTTAAAAAAGTTTGTATGCTTGGCTGTGGTGGAAAAGTTATTGTATAGATAAAAAACAAGATGGAAACAGCGATGAAGAGCGTCACTATCACTTGTGAGCAATGAAATCAAAACCCTGAAACCCCTCAAAATTATACCATGCTCACACTTCATCACTGGGACACTCAGCAGACAACTGTACAATAAACAGTTGTTAAAGAAGACAGAATCCATCATGTAAGACAGCACTCAACACCAGTACTTAGAATTTAAGTTACTGCCCTCTGGTTCCCCCCTCAGACAACCACTAGCCACAGCTCTATAAATTCTCTTTCATACCCTCCACTGCTCAACACTCCTCCAACCGTGCACTAATGTGTACTTGACCTTTTACTCAACATGTGTTTTCTATGATGTGTGGTTATATACGCATGGGCTTTTTTTTTATCTGTATGTTTCACTCTGTGTTGTTATTTTTATTGCTACTGTGGCAGAATCAAGTGCCCCTCAGGGACAAATAAAGGTCTTCAGCTTGAATATTCAGTTTCACTCTGAAACTCTGTCACATTATAAAAGCTAAGGTTGCTCTAACTGCCATTTCATGTAGACTTTAAGTGAGAAAAGCACCAACAAATTCTGTTGATGGCTTTACTCATTAAATTCATTGGTAATAACTACCTATGAATACTAGTGTATTCATATCTAGCTGTCTGTATATATTCTCAACCCTGCACTCTGCACTATATAATTTACTACTACTCTGTTTGTACTGTAGATATCTTAATTTAATAGCTGTATATATCTTAGTGTATTCACTATATATATGTTATTTTTTATACCCCTGTACATATGCACATTACTCTGCACTTGCCTGCTTTTTGCACTTCTGATTAGATGCATTTCGCTGTCTTAGTACTTTATGCAAAGACAATAAAGTTGAATCTAATCTAATCTAATGTCTTGTACCAAATTTGTATCCAATAATTGTAAAGATTGTTCCCTGTAGAACAAAGTTTGACTGACATATTATCTGACTTACCTACAAACACTGCGATCCCTAAAGATACAGTGCTATTAATAAACGCCTTCACTAAAGAGTTTACGGGGAATTTCTATGAATTCTAATAAAAACAGGTTGAAAAAACACAAGTAAACATTAGCAGAAGCGTTGTGATTTCTAGCTATTCATGCTTGACCTCTACACCTCTTTGTCTGTCTTTTTTTTTTAACACAATTGGCACAAGGACAAAAAGAAAGGTCTTCTAGGTGGAAACGAGAGTCCTCTTGCAGTAACCACCACTAAGGACTGGCCTCCAGCTCTGACTGTGATTGGCTGTCTTCATCAAGGTCAGGACAACTCCTGAAGGAAAACACAGCGCTCTGACTATCGGTGTTTGATCAGTGGAGTGTGGAGTGTTTTTTACCATCGCTCTATCTCTGTTCTCAGTAGGTTGCACGCTGATGTATAATACACACTATAGTACAACCCCCTCCAAAATGCGCTCAGGTAAAACAAACGACCGACATGCATTCTTGTTTGCTTGTTGTGATCGATGGGATACTGCAGAGTAAGCCTTTGGTGTGTCTTTTTACACCGTAGCAGGAAAGGGTGACAGAGGATGGCAGGTTTGTGCCTGTGCATGCATGTGTGTGTGTGTGTGTACAGAATTTTAATTGAACTGTAGGTCACTTTCAAAAGGGTAGGGAGACAATACAGGTCCCTGTGGAATTTAGAGTGTGTGTGCATAATGATTTGTATGTGTGCATGTACATGTAAAAGAGTGTATGTAATATCATTAGTCCGTGTTTAGGTTGTTGTATGAGGATCTCTGTGCAGCATTTTTAAATATAATACAAGTGTAAAATGTTAAACCTTCATGCCACTTTGTGTGCACATGTTACCTTTCTTTCCAAAGATCCATCGCTTGTGCATGCTGTTGATGAAGAAGGTGGGGGTCTGAGTAAAACACATGAGGAAGTCCGTGACAGCCAGGTTAATGATGAAAATATTAGATGGTGTCTGCAAGCTCCGACTCCTGACACACACACACACACACACACACACACACACACACACACACACACACACACACACAGACACAGCTGTTAAAATATTGTAATTAATCTTATTATAGTCTTAGACCTGGACTATGAATAAATCAGTCATCTCATTATCACATATATTAACACAGACACATGGAAAAAAGTGAACTTAACAAGTTTATTGAAGGAAGCTAATTCAAAACTTGAAGTAAGTAAAAAAAAGTACCTGCAGAAAGCATATATAACCAGGAAGTTTCCCAGCATGCCTGTGATGCCCACAGCCAGGATGACAACGCCGATAGTGTAGTGAGCGTGGTCTGGTACGTCTACCGTTGGAAATGGGTAACTTGGAACCATGGAACCCTATAGCAACAGGAAAATGGGAAGGAATTGGTTAATTTGTGGTATTAGAGTCATTGTATTATATCAGGACATCAATGTCATTCAAAAACGGATGTCACTGCAGGTCTCATGCTCATGTACTGAAAGTGTAACAAGCTTTGGGAAGTACAAAGGATGATTTTGCCTAGAACTGAAATTAAAGGGAAATTAAAAAAAGATTAGCAAATTAATTATTTTTATCTTAATACTTAGGATAATTCGCCAATGGTTAAATAAAGGAAACTGAAAAAGAAAATAGCCACTCACTCGACATTAACAAACTTCCATATGTTGAACATTGTGAGAGATTGTAGCCTACACCAGCTAGAAAAAACTACGATGTCTTGTTTAAATATGGTTTGATTTATTGTTGCCTGGAACTGTACAATGATTCAAGATGTGGCTTGGTTTGGTGGGTACACATTCAAATGTTGTACCTAAGTGTGTCAGCAACTGTTAGATAAATCCCTGGAGTGAGAGGAAATCCACTTAGTCTGGAACCCACTCTATACACCACAAATACATTCCATTAAAATATTGATTTAATAGGATATTTAGTGGTATAATTAGGGTCAATAATAAGGTTTAAAACATCATTAGGGGACTTCAAGCAACCTACAATTTAAGTACCCACTCTGAATAGCTCATCATGAGCTCAGAGAAGATGAAAGCATCTTTCTGTACTTTATGCTCCAGTAACTATTTGTCAGACTGAAGGTCAGACTGAAGACACTTCTATCGACCTCTGTCACCAACAAAGAACTCTCCAATGCCTCTGGTACAGCTTACATTAGCGTAGGCCACTGCCAATTATGGTAACTGTAATTGACAGGGTTTGAAAAGTCACAATTACACAATATAATGAGATGAAATGGCTAATCGTAAAAAAAAAAAAAAAAACGCAAGAGCTGGGCGACTTGAAAATGTTCAACTTTGAGTGAAAAATGTGTGTGTATGTCGAGGCTTTTGCAGTGTTGTGTGGGGAGGACCGGAGAAACAGAGCTGCTGCTCACCGACAGCTGTTTGAGCCCAGGGAGCTCTGCAGAAGAGAGCTGGGGGCACAGCCGGAGTTTCTGGAGGAATAGAAAACTGTAGTCACACCGGATTCTGCACTGAGCTCAGAGTATATTTTTTAAACAGTTAGGATTAAAAAGTGGATTTATCTTGACTCTCACTTCTGAGCGTGTCTGCTGTGAGCCAGGGAGGTGCCACCCGCACTTGTAGCCATCTGTGTGCACTCAGAGCTCTATTATACTATTTCACATTTAGTCGTTTAGAAGTTGGACTACCTGGCAAGTGGTAAAAATACGTGTCTGTTACTTGATTCCAACTAACGTTTTTACTCTACTAAACAAGCATTTTAAAAGTTGTTTGCTTCTTGTCTTGCGGACAGTTCCAATGTATTTTATTGGCATTATCTTTTGGGCTTACTGCAGTAATGAGCCAGAAAGAAATTTACATCACATTTGGTGCTGTAGTGTAAACTGCAAGCTTATTCTTTGCCTGTAAAGTAATTGGTGCAGCAATCACAAACGTTTATGAGTAAAACAATAATCAAGTTTAAATTGTGCTCTAAAAGTACAAATTAGCTCACAATGGAAATACTTGGAAGTGGCAGCACATCAGAGTTGTTTTTAAAGATAAACTGTGGAGATTTTAATCACTAGTAGTGCTATAGAGCAATGCTTATACGAGTGAGTCCCTGTTTTGTTCGCATCAAGCCCCCGCGAGGCATGACTCATGTTCTGTTGTTGATTTCATGTTTTAATTTGCTGATCGACAAGTGGTGGCGGTGATGTGCAGTGTAGCAATGTGCTTGCAAAGGCAACAAAGAGGACTGCAAGCTCATAAACATGGATGTAAACAATGCGCTATTAAATATTCTCTTTGCAAAGGTGTTATGTGGAAAGAAATGCATTCAAAATGTCCGCCCTTGAGGATTCACACCATGTGTTCATGTGTTTTGTTGAGAAGTTAATGTATTTTGGCACCTTTAAGGACAGTACTTTTCATACAAAAATATTTCATACATCTTGAATTTAGGTCAGAAAGGATGCCAGTAGTGGGTGTAATGACTTTTTCAAGGTGAAGATGTCTGTTTATCCTCTGTAGTTCTATTTTCTATCTTTCCATAAGCTACTTTCTGGACTCGACAAGGACACATTTTAAGAGCTCCAAGATGCCACGTGTGTCTGTTTCTGATTGTTAAGTCATCAACAGCTGAACCTTAGAGACCTTGTATTTCTCTCTCATGTGTGTCACGATACAAACACACATACAAGCACTAATCTGTGTGCAGTAGTACTCCCTCTCTAGAATTTCACCTTAAAGGGTCCAGTGTGTAAATTTAGGAGGATCTATTGGCAGAAATATAATATATAATATAATATTCATAGGTATGTTTTCATTAGTTTATAATCACCTGAATATAGGATTTTTTTTATGTACAGACGCTGCAGGTTACCTTCCATGGACTCCGAACTGCCATGTTTCTACGGTAGCCAAGAATGGACACACCAAACTCTAAACAGGACCTTCAGATAGCTGCAATCTGCAACTAAGCCGGTGCCACTAAATCTTACACACTGGTCCTTTAAAACAAGTAGCAATACCACAGAGTATAAATTCTGTTTGCTATATATAAAAATCATGGATTCAACAGTATTAGCATCAAAATATTTCAGAATAATATTTATCATATTACAATTATTAATGCAATAATTTAATTTAAAACACCTGTAACTCCCTAAAAGCTGACTTTCAGTGTCAATGAAAGGTTCTGAATTCACAGCAGCATTTTGCCTCTGAGAAGCTGCTGCACTTCAGAGCACACAGCTCTAGTTGAGAATTCATTTCAGAGATCGTGAGACACTCCACTGCTTTTACACTTTGCTTTTGTTTCTCGTTGTTTCTCAAGTAGATGTACACACACACACACACACACACACAAACACACACCCACTCACCGGGACTACTTCCACAGAGTTAAATCTTCCTCAGTGTTCAACTGGAACAAAAACTGAACTCCGCATTTTGGCGTGTGTGTGTGTGTGTGTGTGTGTGTGTGTGTGTGTGTGTGTGTGTGTGTGTGTGCACGCATCTGCTTACACACATGTGCATGAGTGTCCAACATCTGTTTCAGCATTCCTACTTTTCTGCAGAGTCACAAGCTCCTGTTACTAAAAGGAGGATTTGAATGGTATAGTGAAAAGTGATGGAGTGGTTATGTAAGCAAGTGAGTGAAAAGGTCACAGGGTTACTGAAAGGAGGGCAAGTGCAGCAAGTGAAGGAGATATGCAGATGTGGTGTGTGTGTGTGTGTGTGTGTGTGTATATATATAGGTGTGTGTGTGTGTGTGTGTGTAATTCAAACACACTTGGGTCCAGTCTTCTGTGATGTGGTGGATCACACTCAAGGTCTCTACCCCCCCTCCCTGCTTCATTTCCTCCCCAGTCTGGTCTCTCCTTTTCACATATTGCTACTCTCCTTGCCGAATCTCTCTCTTTCTATCGCTGCTGATTCCCGATCCTGACTAATTCCCCCCTTCCCGTCTGTTCCTCTGGTCCCTCAATCTCTAGATCACTCCTTCTCTCTCTCTCTCTCTCTCTCTCTCTCTCTCTCTCTCTGGCAGCTTGGGGCCAGATTAATGCCGATCACACGGTGAGGAGGATGGAAGTCTCCTCTACAGTATGCTTGTGTGGGATTGAAAGATGGAAATGGTGGGTGGTAATATCTCTCCATACTCTCCGTCTGTGAACACGTACTGAGGCCATGGTGCCAGCATTTTGGGGTTTTCCTTCGTCAGTGGAGAGCAAGCAATATAAATGCAAATTATCTTGTGGTTGTCTAATGCAGAGTAATTTAAAAACAGGCAAAGACAAATAAACTGAGAGAGAAAGAAGATGAAGATTAGGAATAAAAGAGTAGTTGAGAGACAAGTTGAGGGAGGGGAAGAGAATTAAACTTCCACTTCCGAGGATCCAGGAATTAAATTGGAATTAAAATGCACAAACACACATGCATATACAAAGAATCACATGCATATGTTATATGTGTACATATGTTTGAATGCAGATTAATTTGTGCGCACACGTTACAAAATGTATCTTACTCCTCTTCTTTTTCTGTCTCTCTCTACAAGTGATGTGTTGTTAGTGAATGAGTCGTCTCCTGTAAGTGAACGATGGGAGCCAGCTCCAGTGTGAGAATATCTTTCTTTCTTTCTTTCTTTCTTTCTTTCTTTCTTTCCTTCTTTCTTTCTCTTTAATAAATTAAGCTTATATAAAACAGACTGATGATCTGATAACATATTTGATAAAGAAACATATCGCTTTGGTAATAACATTAAGACCCAAGCAGTGTTGCACTGGTCACAAACATAAAAAGCACACCAATACCCATGTAAAAGTTTTGGATGTTTTACATTGTTTAAGGTATTTATGCCAAGTGTAATGTAAAATGATTGCATTCTGCAAACTATAAGGTTTAGTATGGGTACACTGTGATATATGAGCTTACACAGAGCAATCACAGGGCAAAACATTGCTTAAAAGAGACAGTATTCAGTACTCAAAAAAAAGTAAAACAAGATGAGTTATGAAATGTTTGTTTTACATGAATAAAGGGTTTTGTCTGATCTAATTGCACTGAATTTATCATGTGATTCTGCATACATTTGCCTTATCCTGACATAACTCAATATTAGAAAAATATTATATAAAATATAATTTTCTATATCATGATATTGAAATTGATATTGAAAGATGATGGACGGTGATTCGTTTAAACATACATTTAAAGTCGCTTATTGGGGTATAGGCTAATCTTTGGTTCATAGCAGGACTGATTTAAAGAGCAGTTTACTCACAAGTTTTCATTTAATTATTTTTTGTTGATTAGTTGGCACAATTAAAACCTCCTGGTCTTGCAAATTGCAATGCAAATTATTTGATTGACTTAACTCTTATCGTGTTTTAAATAGTAAATGGTAAATGGACCACAAACTGTACCCCCGATTATCCACCCATTCTGACACCCGTCACAAGCAAGCCGTTAATCAGCCTATCAATAAGGTGATAAATGGTCATCTGTGACTTCAGAGACAAAATCATTTGTTTACCATCTTAAAGCCTCTAATCAACAGCAGATTAGAGGACATGATCACAGGACACGACACACACACACACACACACACACACACACACACACACACACACACACACACACACACTCACTGTGTCTTTGATGAGACACAGAAATCCACATATGCATACCCACAATCACATCAGCACTCACATCGTTTTCATTGCACAGACACACCCCTGCACAAATGTGTGTGCATGCATACACACCTGCACAAACAATAAGAAGCATTGATAAGTTAATCTCTTTTTAATCATCCAGAGATCGTAGATTGTAGATGGATAATTAATAAAGAAAAGGCAACAAACAGTGGTAAAGGGAAAAGGAGGCTCTAGAGAGAGACACAGAATGGGTTTATATGAAAACCACACATTGCCGAGTAGAAGATCCCATCTGTCTCAGTCGAAGCTGCCCCCAGGCTCTGCTTTAGTATCAGCTTTCCCAGAACTCCCACCATGAAGGCCCGACCACAAAAGCTACAGAGACTGAAGCCTACAGGTCTGAACTTCAAAGTCAGAGTCCAAACTGAAGTATTCACACTTGTTGAACTACATTTACCGCAGCGGTGCACCCCATGTGTTTCTCAGTATGTCTTTCAAACAACTGTTTCTCTCTCAAATCAGTCAATGTCTGGGCAATGTTAAAGCACTGTACTTTCTTTTTATACTCTGTATTTTACATACACTGCAGAGGTGTATTGGTCTATGCATTTGTATAAAAGGATTTCCCTGAAGGCACCACAGAAATTAATTCCACTTTAAGACACAGGGGGAGACAGAGAGAGAGATGACTCTATGATGATCTATGAGACTTGATAAGCACATTCCTCCTGTTGATGACCGCACATGTTGGAGTTTCCAGGACTGAGAGTGTGTCGGTGACACTGCAGAGGTATGTGTGAGGAATGTCCGAGCTGACACGATTACACACCTTTACATTTTAAAAAAGTAATGTAACTTGTTATGAACAAAACTCCAAACCAGCGCAGAAACCAGCTGTTTGATGTTTTCTTGCTGCCTTGCTAGAAACATAATTTCCTCTTGTGAGACAATAAAGATCTGAACTGAACCAAACCTGCAACCTTTCTGTGTAAATTAAGATTAGGACACACAAATGTCTATTATAGGGTTTATATCGGATTGCATTGGATGCCACATTGTAATCAGATGGGTTTATATAAATGCTATTTAGTGCAACACCAGATTGCAAAAGTCACTATTGAGCGCAGACAAATCCTCTGAAATTACAGGAAAACTGTCAAGAGAGGAGATCCTTAAATTCATCATCATGAGAAATACTGTAAGAAAAATAAATTAATTGCTTTTTTTACGCGCGCACAGATGCTGGTACAAAGAGTGCACACAGAGGTGAGAAACATCTTGACCCACAACATCTTTTTTTACAACAATTTCCTCCAACACAAGCTGAAGAAACACTAGAGATAACGGGATTTGCGCTTTACCCCTGTCTTCATTCAGATCCGATACTGAATGAACGGAGCTCAGATGCGCAGAAGAGGATGGTGTGATTCATTCACTAACACCTCCCCTCATACGACATTCCTCAGATTTTATGAATGATCTTGCGGAGGAATGAAAACAGCCACTAAAAACCTAAACCCCGCTATTTATTTAGCCTGTTTTGCCAGATGTGGTGAGTTTCGCTACTCTGGATCAGATCTTGCAGCGGTTACGCACCGCTGCAGCGCACAGAAGCTCTCCATTCACACCGAGGGGGGTACTCCTCCAAACAGCAAAACAACAAAACAAAACAAATAAAAAGAGTGGCATGGAGCAAGATGCTTACAGCTGTAGCGACAGGAGACAGCTCCATAAGACGGTGCGGGCTGATGGAGCTGATGTTCCAGGGTGCCCGGGCTGTCGGGTCCGATCTAATCAGCAGCCTAGAATCCATTCCCGCGGTCCACGGTGGTTAATGAAAAGCTGTTGTGTAAGACAAGCGGACCGGAGAGGTGTGGAGTGTCTAGTGAGGTTGTCTAGGAGTCCAAGTGGCCCGTCATCATCGCCGCCCTGCTCTCATATCTCACTCTGGCAGGGCTACTGGTAGTTCAGCTGCTGTGGAGGGGTGGGAAAGAAGTGCTCTCTCCCTCTCTATCCCTCCCCCTGTCCAATCCCCGCTCCGGGGATGCCTCTGAGTGTGTCAGTATGCATAGATATAAATGACCATTTTTCTGTTTGTTTATTTAACTTAAATGAATCATCAATGGAGCCGTTTTCCCTCTCTTTTCTATATCTTCTTCTCCCTTTCCTTCACAGTTTCAGTTATGAGTTATGCTCTATTTGCTGCAAACAGAAAAGAAAGGGGTTTAGATTATTAACATTATCATGCAAAGAAGGATCAAAACAATCTGTCTCCCACAGAATCTCACATCTTTATTTTCCAGCCCCATTTTCATGTGCAGCTTGCAGAAGTCCTTCACACATTTACAAATTAAATCTATATTTATTGTATTGTACAGACTTGACTCAGACTACTGGAGCGTGTTTCATTAGGGAAGGGAGAAGCCTTGGTTTTTGAGTGCATTTTGAGGTCGAGGTTGCAGTAGGCCTTAAATCTGCTGCTGCCAAGACTAAAGAAGGATTGCAGGAATGAGTACATAATGGAAGGATTACAAAATATTTGTTTTTTTGTGGTTGATTTGAGCAGATATTCAGTTTGCGTGTGTAATGTTTTAATCCTAAAGAAAGGAAAGATGGAGAATACAGACAAAAGAGTGAGGGAGGTATAAAAGGAAACATGAAGACTTAAAAGGGAAATTTAAAGAGAGTCTGGTTCTCATAATCATGTCCATTCTGACTGATGGCCAAAATGGAGGCTAAAGGAGGCTGTGTTTACTTTTGGTCAAACTCAGAAACAAACAATATAAGTTGCATCAGTATATGTTGTTGTTGAGTCATGTTTCCCAAATCTCTTCGAAGGAGATGGCGAGTGTAAAGTTATCTGTATAATGAGAATATGACCCAGCAATAACTGGGTAACTCTCTTTGGCCACTTGGCAAACATAGCAAACATGTATCTATGCAGCACATAGCAGTCATTTTGAGTCGTGTTTTCGGAGACCTGATGAATGTAAGTCCAACATTCATTCCCTTTTTTTTTTGTTCTGCACCAACTCCTGAGGGAATATCTGGCTTTTTAGCTGCTAAATGCTGCACTGATCACCAGCTTGTTGCTAATTGTGTCTGTCTGCCATTTGGTGTTGAGCAGGTTTTTTGAGCTTTGTCACTCAAAACTGCTGCCAGCCAAAATGGATACTATGAGAGAGGTGAAAGTGAACCAAAACAGTAAAGTTTTGGGACGGAAAAAACAAAACAATGAGCTAAAAGATGCTAAAGCTCCATAGAGCTGAGGGTAGCTGCAGAGTTGACTGTGACACGTTTCACATACTAATAGTCGTGTCCATAAAAATACATTTTTATATTATTATAACTTTTAATCTAGAAGCAAAAACATATTTTACTGCTTAAATTAAAAAATTAAAACCTAAATTCTTCTCTATAAGAAAATCACATGTGTGCATCTGAATGTATCTCAGGTTAATGTTTATTTTCGTGCTGCCAGAGGACAAACTCACAGACACAGCTTTGATAGAGATCAGAGATGTACCAATGTGTGCATACCAGTAACTGCACTAATTTCCCTGTCTCATGATTTCTGGAGAGGGTGCAATATTAGCTGAGCTATACAGACTGAGAGAGAGAGAGAGAGAGAGAGAGAGAGAGAGAGAGAGAGAGAGAGACAGAGACCTGTAGCAGGAACATGTTTGTTTGTCACTCTAACGGCTCCCAGGTGAACTATAAAGAATGCCTTTCATTTCTAGACATCCAAGATGACATTTAGCCAGGAGCAGTCCACCATGTGAATGGAGAGAACGGTGGAGAGGCTGAATGATAGATTGGGAATAATGGCTGATTGTGAACAGCAGAAGAAGGATGTTGAGGAATTTAGGCATGACCATGTTGCCATTTTTTTTTTATTCTAGAAAGAATCACAAGGTCTTATGATGCCTCTCCTAGCTTCCCTAACCTTTTCGTTCTCCTTATTCAGTAGCGCTCTCTTTGCCTTTGGGCTTATATTAGGTTTGTGTACACTAAGGCACTCTAGCCCCTGCCCCCATTTTACCATTTATGTAACACCCTATTCTGTAGTCTTCAATTTCAACAATAATATGTTTCTAATGCTCTCTAATGCTGTTTAATGCTCCATAATACAGCATAACTGCCTCTTCAAGTCGCTTAAACTCAATCAAGTCAACCCACCTCTGGAATGCTAAGTGTTGATCCAGTATGAGGAAATTCCGGGAGACAGCGGATCAAATTTAACTCGGCGGGAATTTAACTCTTTGCCCGGTAGAAAAATGTGATCAGTGACGGGAAAGGTGAGTGACAGGATGTGCAGAGAGTATCTACCTTTTCCAGGCTTTTGACCCCTTGTGCACTGGAGGTCTCCATGCTTTCTGCATGTTTGCCTCTCTTATAGCACCGTACTAAATCATTCATTTACTTTCAACAATTTCTCTGCCACCAAATATCCACACACGCACGCACACTGCATGTGAGTTTAGGTTTGCAACATGTTTAAACGTTTAACTTCTATCCTCTTCCCGTCTCACTAAACTCTCTAACAAACAAACACATCCTTCCTGTATGGGTGTTGTGTATTTTGATTTTATGTGTAAAGTGTGTGTGTGTGTGTGTTTGTATTTTCAAGCAATGCAGTCCTCTGGCAGCTGCGAGACCCACAGCGTAACTGGTCCCATGATGGGGAGTTCTGGCTGATATTAAGCGGATCAGAATCGGGGTCTGGACTTACACAACAGTAGCATTATATAAACAACACAACTAATACAAAGGACAAAACAATACCACACTGTGTGGTGTGATCCCCCTCGTCCTTCCTCCCTCTGTCGTACTTATTCCTGTTTAGGTTAAGTCAGGTTATTTTTCTTTCCAGGGTCATATGCCGTCCTTGCAGCAGGTCAGAGTTGAGAATAAAGATCATTAGCTTCAAATCCAGTGACCCAGTTTCATGTCAGGCGAGTTGATGTGAGCAGGACATTGCAAACGTGTTTGTTTGTTGTTGTACGTGTCATAAACAATAACAACTAAATGAGTCTATAAAGAAACATTCAGAGAAAGTCAATTGTAACACAGTAAGTCATATATAAACATATCAGTACAAATATTTCTACTAATGCAGGAATACCAATAAATTAAAGCATAAACATCAGCCTGTAGCAATAACTCCGCTGATTTATGGGTTATTTCTTTTAATGGTAACTATAAATAATGAAGGTTGTTGATTGTAACTGTGGTTCTATGAGCACAGACACATTTAGCCTCTATGGGCTTGCCTACTCACTCATCTGGAGGGCATTGAAATTTGGATGAAATAGTAAAAATGAAATACTTTTTTTAATGGCAGGAAAGGCATAGAAGTAACTAGTAAAACCAATAATGACCCAATCCTTTAAAAAAAAGACATTTAACAAAATCTTTTTGCCTGCAGTTTAATATCCCACCTTGTTACAGTGATGTAGAAGTGTACTCCAGGGTGTCAGTACACCACTGCTGACCAAACCCAACGGTGATGCTGGGTGTGACATGAGATGTAACAGATTTAAAAAACTTTTAACTAGAGAGTGCAGTGAAAATCAGCTTTTTAGTCTGATATTAAAGGTCCAGTGTGTAACATTTAGGAGGATCTATCAGCATATATGGAATATAATAAGCATATTTTAGGATGTGATCCCCATTATCTGATGCAGAACATCAGCTACTCTTCCTGGGGTCCAACCAAAAGTTAAAAACAGGACAACAGATAAGACACTTGGACTTACTCTGTAAGTGTTCAAGTGAGCCATGTCAGTGAGCCAGGCATTCACAGTACCAAGGACCCGGATCTGGACCACCATCCTCCTCCATCCATGTGAGAAAGGTCTATAACACTGTAAAACCCAGATAGGTTAATTTAACTAAAACAACTGTTGAAACTGATTACATCGAGTAAGAATGACTTCATTTTGTAATATTTATTTGTACTGTGAAAACAAAATACCTAGTAAAAATTATTAATCAGGTATGTTTCTGTAACTTACGAGACTAAGTTACGTAAAGTCACTTAAAATTACTAGTAAAAGCTGCTTAATCAAGAGTCTTTTTAAACCTAAAAAAAACTGAGTTTGTGTTATTTTTAGATTTTGGTGCGATCAGTTTCAACAAGGAGGAAGGATGGGCCTGCCAGCTATACATTGACAGGATGCCGAATAACCATTTGCCTGAGACAAGGAACCTCAAAACTGCCCCTCTATGACTATGTCGTTCTGCAGACAATACAATAGAGCTGATTGATTGGTAGATGCTTTTCTCTCTCCAAGAGAAGAGCCATCAAATGGAGGAATAAAAAAGCTTTCACAGCAATGACATTTGCGAGGAGGCAGGATCGCAGGGGGCAACGAGCCACTTCCGTCTGACACAACTGAGCCACAATCAGGCTCATAATGGCAAGTGGTGGTCTACTTTTTGACATGTTGTTGGAACTGGTGTTTTAATGCAGGATATCTGGAGAGCTTTGAGAACAAGTAGTGTCTCTGAAGCCTGGAAAAGCTTCCTACATCTTTCAACAGCAAGACAGATCCCCCCTTCCTCCCCCCCACCTTTTGCTTGTTGATTTAAAATAAAACTATCAAGCTGTCAGTCCTCAACCGACACATCCTTGCCATTCAGGAGAGGAGGGCAAACACACCACTGCATCAATCTCCAGGAAATCTATGTGGCAAAAAGATGAAAGTAAGCACCTTAAAAGTATGCTGTCGTGGTAAACAAGATGCCCAGCTGCAATAGCTTTTTCTGTGTTTGGGACATACAGGCAATATATGAGTAGCTTTAGGTCTGTTTATATCAGTATGACTATATCTGGCTTTACTTTACAGGAAATAAAAAGAATGGAGTTCTTTCTCCCTGTTTCTCCCCGAGGAACAGTTTCTGTCCTTCATCAAAGAGAACAGAACTATTTTTTACA